ACATTGCGCTACACATTCCTCATTCCCGGGTCCGATTTAGTCTCGAAACAATTAAATTTCGTCCCGATTCAAGTTCAAAATATTTTTAGATGAACTTCCTTTAAATTATTTTCTAACTTTTAAAATTTTATTCCATATCTCTTTTTTAGGTCACGCGATACCCAATCGACTCGTAAAATGCAAAATATCCTACTGTTTCGGAATTCGACGAAATTTGACTGGATAACTAGATTTCGCGAGACAAATTCAACAGTGAGGTCCGTTTTGTCATTCAAATTCTAGAAAAATTTGGGTTTTTAACCCGTACTGTAGTGACAAATTACCATTTTGCCCTTTTTCACATAAAATTCAAATTTATCCGAATTTTACATGGGATATTTTGACGTGATTTGGTGGACTTATATGACCTAGTGGATATCAGTTTGGGTGAAAAGACAAAAACCCTCTAATGACATGATAACATACTTTGGTAAAAGGGATAAAAAAATCAAAGCAATATTTAAGTTATACTAATTAGGTAGTTGCTTAGAATGTCTAAACCTGTTGTTGTAAGTCCCTATATGCCTTGAAACTCATACAAAAAAATACAAAATAAAAATTAATTAAATGATTGCTTATGCATATATAAATAAAATAAGAGCTTGCAAACTATTATAGAGGTTTAAAACAACTAGCCACTAATTATGTGTATAATATATAACTATATATAATTTTTTTGTAATAATGAAAACGATCCCGATAAGAGTCTAAAGCAAACCGCAACCCAAAAGAGTGTACCAACTAAGCCTACCCCCACTGCATTGCGCATCAAAGAAAGTAGCGTACCCCGTATTCGTACTCGTACCACGTGCCAAACTGTCCCGCGATCCTGGTAACCCTGATTTAGAAAATTAATATAATATTAGAGACATGGAGAGTGCTCGAACTTAACCTACTTTTCACTAACAATTTATATTTATAGTTGTCTCGTAAACATAAAAAACGAGTATACTCTCTAAGTGGTATACTTATTACAATGATATTAAATAGTAATAACATAGTAATACTCTCAACAAACACAAGCTCGAACACCTTTTCTAACTACAATAGGAAGCTCTGAGTCATCAACAGTTAGATTATCCATAACCTAGGTGCAACTAGAAGCTCATTATCTAGTAAATTAGTAGGAGATGCTAGAACTGGAGTGGAGGAATTCAACTGTCCCGACGGCAAATGAGTGGTCTGTTCCTTCTAACGCCGAGAATAGGTCTTCAAAGTACCAGGTGGATCATTGATACTAATAATCTGTTGCTCCCCCTTATTAATATCCCACTAGAAAAGCAATTGAAAGAAGGGCTCTTGACATACCATCTATTCCACAGTAGTTGGATTCTCCCCTAACAAGATGGCTGGAGTGGAGAGAAAAATGACTCAAACTCACGAAAGATAACTTTCATGCTAACAAACATCTTTTGTGTCGGTAGATGGTAGCATTTTTACCCTTTTTGAGTGGGAGAATTAACTCAAAAAAACACACCGTGGAGCCTTGCAATCAAGTTTTCCTCTGGACGCTCTGTGGTCATGGACAAAAGAAACACACCCAAAAATTTTAGGTGGAACAGAAGAAACGAATGGAATCGGTAAAATTCCAAAAAGACACTCAAAAGGAGACAAACTGTAGGACACTAGAAGATAGACGATTAATAAGATAAGCAGTAGTAACTACTGCATCTCCCCGAAAATTTGGAGGAACATTCAAAGTAAACGTCACGGAATGGGCAATCTCAAGAAGATGGCGATTTTTTCGCTCAGCAATACCATTTTGCTCTGAGGTACACATACAAGTAGTTTGATAAAAGATGCCACTCTCATTGAGGTAAGAGAGAAAATCCCCATCAATGCACTCAGATTCATGTTACTACGAAGGACTTTAATTTTAGCATCAAACTGAGTACCAACCATTTTATGAAAAGAGCGGAAGTATCATTTTAGCATCAAACTTCATTTTCAGTGTGCAAAAATAATAAAAGAGACAAACCAACGATAACCTGAGATAGAGGCAGCACGGAAAGGTCCTCAAACATCAAAGTGAATGATAACAAAAGGAGCCGTGCTTTTATTATTAATATTAGGATAAGGAGAACGTTTGTCTTTGGCAAATTCACAAGCATTACAAACAAAAAATTGGTTATTACACTACTTTACTAGACTCAGAAAAATATGCTCTAAAACACCAAATGAGTCATGTCCCAAACGCTTGTGCTATTGTAGTAGGATTTGAAGGGTTGAAACACTATCTACCTGGAGAGCTTGACAAGTGGACAAAGGGGCAGCTTCATCATCCAGTAGATATAGACTCCCATGGGCTTTACCACTGCCAATTGTTTTCCCTGATTCTAGTTCTTGAAAGGTACAATGAATAAGGAAAAAAATTACTGAACAATTTAGGGATTTAGTAATACTACTAACAGACAATAATTTAGGAGAAAATTTGGGAACACGAAAACAGAGGAGAAAAAGATGGAGGGTGAGCAATTAATTGAACATTTTCCAAAAACTAAGGATAAAGGTTCATCTGTCACCATAACTTTATCCCTACTTGAACATGTAGAGTATGAGAAAAAAATACTAGAAGAACTTGTCATGTGGTCCATAACTCTAGAATCTTTTATCCAAGGAGCATATAAGGATGATGCAATAAACACACCAGATATACCTAAGTGAGCAAAATTAGAGAAAGAACCATGATTAGAAGCTGTGGTAAAGGAAGCATCAAGTCGAGTTGTTAGGCGCCTGGGAGTCTGCATCTCATCCTGAGAAAAGGTTGACGAGATGGTGCCACTAGACTGAAGTGGAGTTTCTAAAGATTCAATCATATGTGCCTAAGATCGCACATTACCACCACAACCTCCACCTCAGCGACCACATCGGTAACATGAAGGACATCCAGTCAACTACTAACAGAACTCCTAGTATGTTTGGCCTTTCCACAATATTCACACTTCAAAATATCTTTACTAATAGTATTACTCTAATCAGTAGACTTGGGCAAAAATAGACTTAGGTCACGCTGAGGAATAGCAGCCAATGCAGACTGCTCATGAGTAAGGGCATAAACTATAGCAATTCTTCGACTCTCCTCTTGCTGAACATAAGCATAGACCACTTGTAAAGTAGGGAATGAACCACGACCCAAAATTTGTACCCGAATCTAATGATACTAAACACTAAGAGCAGCAAGAAAGTCATAAACTCGTTCCCTCTCAACCATTTGTTGAAATTTTACAGCATCAGTAGCACAATCTGCTTAAAAATTCTGGTAGTAATCAAGCTCCTACCACAAGGTCATCAACTTTGCATAATAAATTGCAAGGGTCTTATTTCTCTAATTAGTCTCCCGAACTTTCTTCTGAATGTCATATACCTTTGCATCATTATCTCGCTGAGAATATGTATGGGTCACGACAGTCCAAATCTTAAGCGTTGTATCAAGTAATAGAAAACCACAACTGATAGAGGGTTGCATTGAATTAAATAATCAAAACATAACCAAAACATTCTCGGATGTCCACTACTTCAAGGAGATATCTATCTCACAGGGCTTCTTATTCTCACCAATCAAATACCCATCTAAAGCAATAGCTTACTGATAATAAACAAGCCTGTAACCATGCCAAGTAGGTACTCCCATCTAACTTCTCTAGACTACTCTGGAGAGAGGGGTTACTTACTAGAGCATCCAAACAGCTCGACCCAATTCCGCTAGTAATTGCTCAGACATTTACACATGTCGCACTACCTTCCAACATGATTAGATAGTAGAATCAACCCAAAATAGAAAGGTATCCCAAGAAATCACACCTAAAAAATTGGACCACAACCACAAAAATACCCCCACTATGATAGAATCTCACCAGCACAACACCTAAACACGATAGAATGCCAAGGAAGCCTCTGTGAAGCAAACAGGAGCAAAACACGTCACTGGACAGACCAAAAACACACCGTCGGCAGTAGATCTTCATAAAAAACTACATAAATCCAACCTAAATGCAACAAGAAGGACTGGGCAATACCAAGAAGCCCTAGTCGCACCTCTTTGAACAGATCGGGCTCAGAAACAACCCCCCAATAGGTCTGAAATTGCAGATCTGAGAGGAAAAATCAAAAATCTAAAAAACTTCCAAAAAATTGAAAGACCACTCAGATCACTTCAAAAAAATTACCGCAACAAGTGGCGAATCTCTTGTAAATTTAAAAAAAAAACTGACAAAGTCAATTGCTAACATCAGCATGTCAAACGGTGATGTCAGCACATTGGAATGTAACGATCTCCACTGCTGGTTACACAATGTATTTTTTATGAATTCCGACAATTTTGAGATGTTAAATTTGATCGATGCTTTAATACCAAGTTAGATTATCACCCTGTTAGATTTTGAGAAGAACAAGAAGATCAATATGGGACAAGAATAGTGTGTTACGTTACACAACTACATCCCAATATATATAGCAACACAAAAACTTGTACCAAGTTGAGTTGTTAGGGTTAGGAGAAAAAGAGAGAAAAATATGAGGAGAGTAGTGTGTTGAGTTCCACAACTACAACCAAAGTTATATATATAAGCACAAAGTACAAAAATACCCTCAAGCTAAAAATAAAGTATAAAGCATAACTAACGAAAACTAACAGGAGGCAATTACCAATGCGTGATATTAGATACTTTGCACAACCCATATTTGAGCTCTGATACCAATTTGATGTAGATGAAGGATAGAAACGAGATTCCAATATCAATTTGATGTAGACAGGAAAGAAGGAACAAGGCAAGAGAAAGTATCACACAACCACAAGGCCCATCCCTTGGACTTATCAACCGGCTAGACTTTTCCGCCATCCAGTTACACTGAATACCCTGAAACTCGGGGCTTATCAGGCCAACCTTATGGGAAGAGATTTGTTTGGTTTACGCACTATGCTGATGTCAGGTAAATTGGTGGAAGTGGAACAATGAGGTACTTCAGAGGACAGCCAAGCAAATGAGGATTCTTAACACCAGAAAAAGATATGCATTCAAAAACACTGCAAGCTTCAACAGAAAATAGAAAAGCCATGCGCACAGTAGCAAAATACACTCTTTCCATAAAGCAGATGGAGGCAGAGAGAAAGATTACTACATACCCAATGGCCAGCATCTTCAAGAACATGCATTTCAACTCCACCTCCCTCATCAGCAGCTTGCTCCTCAGCGGAATGAATCCTCTGGAGATCTTCAAGTGCCCACCTGTGCAAGCTCCTTTCTGCTTTCAAAAAATTAACATGCACACCTCGAGGCACATCTTCCACTATTTTCCTGCAGGTATTTAGTGAAGCAATTCACAACAATTCTTACTGGCATTAAGATCAAGGATTTTGCAATTTTGGAGAGAGACAGAGACAGAGACAGGAGTATTTATGTATGAACCCCAAAGAATTTGGCAAAATTTTCACATATATATCCTATCTTCATGACTTGCAGTGTTGAAATTATGCCTGATCCATGTCACTAAATTCTGCTGGCTTACACAATTGAGTATAAGACATGAACAAAAGATATTGAAAGGTGATCCATACCATAGATTTGTTTCTTCGTATGATTGATACATGTCAGAAATGCCCTTGAGGTTAAATACCCATGAGAATCCTGATGATGATGAACCAGGAGTGCTAGTCTGGCGAAGGCTAGTTACCACCCACTGGGAATGAAAGAGAAGGGAAAAAACATGCAAAAAACTAATGTCGATACAATTAAGGATTTCGAAACACATAAAATAAGCTCAAGTACAGGAAACAAAGTAGTGTGCTATGAACCCATGGATGAAAAGTATCCCCTTTGCAATTTTTCTTCTTTTAATTCAAATCAACACTAGTTCAAACTGCTATTATAAGATGCAGCCACAATTCAGAAGATGAACTTTTTCGCTAACATCGGTGTGCAGACAGTATAACAATGATGATGATAATCAGATCTGTATAGTAAAAACAACAACACAGTATAACCTTCAACAGTTGGTTTAATAGTCGAACCAGGTTAACTAATGCATGTGATTTTTAGGTGATTGCATGTCTCCGAGATTTGCGTTGCGTCCATGAGTTGGTGCGTGATTGGTACAATTCCTCGTTATCGAAAAATAGCAACGCATTATGGAGCATGTGCTAAAACAAAAAACTTCAATAAAAAAAAAAAAAGGAACCACCAAGAAACACTTCAATCGCCAAATAGAATGAATAAAAGTCTTCCTTTTCCCCTTTTTTTTTTTTTTTTTGGGGGGGGGGGGGGGGGGGTTGTAGGATGGGGGTTGGGTTTACAAGTGACAGATCCCTTGTGAACCCAATACCAGGAATGCAATAACAAAAAAGCAATGGCGACGGACTCCCTTATCCAAACTATGACAAGATTACCTACTCTTACTTCTAATAGACCCCACTATAGGTGGGAAACTTTTGCACTTGATACAACCTTAGACCTTTTTTCAGTTTAGAATTCGAGTTTGTACTCCTATTATCAATATAAGTTCTATGAAGAATGGAAAAATTGATGCAAGTCTTGTGTGGTGAAAAGTTAATGTCGACATATGCCACATAACCTTGGTTTTATATCTACTAAAGTTTTGAATGCTACAATTTAAAGTTCATTGGCATTTTAAAGTGCCAAAGGTTTACCAACTAGTTTGGTCTCCCTTAATCGAGCATACTAGAAGGAATGATTGGTTACAGGGCTTAACTGGCATTACCTGCACAGAGGTTGCCCACAAATTTAAACCCACAACCTCGTGATTGTTAACTACCACACTTTCTACATTGCACCAAGCAATACCCACAGCCACATAGACATAACATAAACCCAGAAAAATGAGGTCACCAACACAATATTGTCATCAAGAGTGAAAGCCCTAGTGAAGAAGAAATTAGATTGATCCACAACTGGAACATTCTGTTGTAAGAAAATAGACAGAATTTGACATTCCGTCCAATTATTAGATCAACATCAGCATCACCAAATGATCACATTTTTTTTCCAAATAATGAATGTTTCTATTAGAGTGTTACTTTCGTATTGTTCTATTTTCCTATTATGTTACTTTCCGATTATGTTAGTTTCTTAGTGTTCTACTTTTATATTGCAATTGTCTTCAATATCAATCTGATATAAATAAGTGATAAGATGTTGGAATCACAAACCCTACACACAATATTGTTTCACTCTCTGTCTTCCTCTCTTCTTCTTCCTTTGACATATAATTACTCACATCTCAACTTGGTTGAATGGGGAACGACCCTAGGCGAGTGCTTCACTCACCTAGTGGTTGGGCTGGCCAGCACACATTAAGTTGTTGTAGTTGTCTACACGTTCACCAGTTGTTGCATTGCCGGAATCACTCAAAGTTACAGTTTTCCAGTCGACGATATCTTCATTAGTTGCTCGTCGGCTATTGTGATCATTATCAACTGTTGTAAGGTGTCTAGATCTGTGTTCCTATCTCCGATGTTTGATTGTTGGCATGGATTTTTAGTTTTTCAATCCAATTTAGTGCCAATGATATTCCATCAAGTTTGGTGTTGGTTTAGTGGTTTTCATCAGGTCCAATTTTAGTTAAGTGTTTTTAACCCGATTTAGTGTTGGTTAGTAGGTGGTTTTCAAGCCAATTTGGTGTTGGTTTAGTAGTTTTCATCCCAGTTCAATTGTAATTCACTACTTTCAGCCCAGCTCAGTGCTGGTTCAGTGATTTTGGAGCTAGTTTGGTGTTGATTTAGTGATTTTTCATCCCAGTTTAATTCTAGTTCAATGTTTTCAACTCGGTTTATTGTCAACTTAGTAGTTTACGGCATAGTTTCATGTTAGCTTAGTTGTTTTTATCCCGATTTAATTCCAATTAAGTGTTTTCAACCTAGTTTAGTATTTGTTCAATGATTATCAACACAATTTGGTGTTGTTTTAGTGGTTTGCACTCCGGTTTAGTTCCACCTCAGTGTTTTTGGCTTGGTTCAATGTCAATTTTGCATCAACATTGGTTTTGTGGTCATAAGCACAAGTTTAGCCCCCTTTTTTTATTCAACTCCGGTTATACTTGCCTATGGCTCGTTGTGGAGTTGATTGTATTCGTTTGTACCAGTATGGCTGGTGGTGGTGGTGTTGTGTTTGTCCTTCTCGCCATCATGTTCTTTTCCTCTGTCTTGTCATGATCATGGCTTGATATTACTTATTTTGGAGTGGTCATTAATTGTATCTAACATTAGGATATTTTAGACATTTTTCATTTCTATCCTCCAACTTGGGGGATAGTGTTAGAGTTCTTATTTTTATGGTTTATATTTATGTAAGGTAATATTATCATTTTACAAAATATTGTTCAATATAAATAAGAGAATGTAGGGCAACAAAGCCTACACTGAGATTATTCCTTCTCTCTCTTTCTCTTGCCTCTCTCATTCTCCTTTTCTCTTACAAACCCTAATACTATCTTTACAATTTTCAATTGGTATTTGAGTAAATAATCTATTAAAAAAAAATTAACTGCAGGTGAACTAGCAAAACATGGAGCTTTATGTTATATGCTGATGTCATCATGTCAAAGAGACGTCAACATTTTTTGGCAACGAAAACACATCTTTTTTGATCGATTTTTGAAGCAAGTATGTATGGGTTTTTTTTATATGTTTTTTAAGCTATCAATATAGACTTTTGTATTTTTTTAAGTTTTTTTTCAGAAAAGGAGTTGTTTTTCGATCCATTGTTTATGGGTCTACTTCCATGGGGGCCAATTTGACCATAGGGGGAGTGTCGTTGCTTACCCAACAATTTTTAGGCTGGTTTGAAGTGTTTTTTGGTGAAAAACACGGCCAATAGCTTCCGGTAGCTCTCCCCACCTGCTATGTTGCTTGAATATGATCTTGGGTCTCTCTCTCACATATTGTTTCTGGTGTGTTCTTGGATCTCTGGTTGTTACCTTTTATTGTTTGTTGTGACTGTTCCTGGTGTGTGTCCCTACAGAAAAAGACCCAACCCCTTCGCTAGGAAATCCACGAGGGCATATGCGACAGTCACACCTACAGTCGATCCTTAGCACATCGACCCATATCCCACAGGTATTGGTGACCCATCATGCAGAGAGATGCCCAACTATATGTACAAAAATGTGCGAAATGTCAAGAGTTCATGCCCATCATTCGACAGTCAACTGGAAGCCTCAACCCCTTTATGGGCCCTTGGCCCTTCTTGCAATGGGCTAAGAAGCACGGACACGGACACAAAAAATGGATACAACACGACACCGACACACAAACGCGACATTTCTCAAAAAAATAGGATACAGACACGTTAGGTACACGTTATAGATAATTGTATTTTATATATAAAATTATATAATTTATCACAAATATAATAATAATAATACATTATTCACAGATAATTCAATACTTCATGATAAATAAATGTTATGTTTAACTATCTAATGTAAATTTTTAGACCAACATAATAATAGTCGAATAATAATCAATTTTTTAGTAGAAGTGTACTAAACATATATAATTTGAGTAATCTTATTTGGACATATACATCTAACCTAATTTGCTAACATAGTGATGTGGCTTCAGTGGAACCATTAGATCAACATCAAGTTCCAATGTTTAATAGAACCCACAGTCAATTCAAAGGTTATACTGAATTAGGTCAGCAAATTAGGTTAATAAATTAGGTCCCAATAGCATGGCTTATATAATTTAAATTATTACTCTCATTTTCTAAATTGTTCTTTTCTAAATCTTTAATGTATTTTTTGCAATTGTTACTATATTTTGAACTTCATGTCTAATCATGGTATTTGTATGTTCTCTCATAGTATAAGATATTTAGTAGTCAAATTTTTAAGTTTTATTAATCATATGTCAACAAATGTTTATTGTTTAGTAATAGACACAGTCTAAAAAAGTGTCAAAAACGTGTCCGAAATTAAAATTTTATCATTTAATTATGGATATGAATAAAAGTGTATCGAACACGTGTCCGAGAATGTCCGAAGAGTGTCCGTGTGTAACATGTGTTCGTGCTTCATAGGCACTGGGGATTAGACATAGTCTGTCCCTAGCCAAAGGCGACGACTAACAAAAGATTTTTTTTGGTAGGAACCGACTTCTTCACCTAGTGGGTAGAAGCCAAAACTTTGACCCACATCCAAAATACAGATACCAAGAGATTCGTCGGGAGAAATATAATCACCCGCTTTGGCATACCCCAAGCCATTATCTTAAACAATGGCATGCAATTTAACAGTGGAGCTTTTAAGCAAATTCTGCAAACGACTTGACATCTGAAACTAATATTTCACCCTGACCTATCCATGTGCAATAGACTTGCCAAAGCCTCAAACAAGAGTGTCCTTAACGGAATCAAAAAGAGACTAGAAAATGCCAAAGGGAAATGGACCGAGGAGCTACTTGTCTTATGAACCTACAAGACATCACCCAGAGTGTCAACACGGGAGACCCCGTATGCCTTGGCTTTTGGGATGGAGGTCGTAATTCCCCTTGAGATCAGTCTCCCAACCACTAGAACCCAAGCCTTCGAGGCAGGTGCAAACGAGCAACAGATCGCCTAGAAATTGGACTTGATAGAAAAAAAAAAAGAACAGGCAGCCATTCGGCTCGCCGCGTAGCAGGTGGACCTCATAACATCACAACAAGAAAGTGTAGCCCCGAGAATTCCAAGTAGGGGATTGGTACTAAGGAAGGTCGTAGAAAATACTCGAGACCCAACCAATGGCAAACTCGACCCAAATTGGGAGGGCCTTATAAGATAACCTCGGCGGGAAGATCTGGATCGTACAAAATGGAGGACTTAATATCATGTTGAACTGAATTATGGGCAATGTTGATTGTGGCCCTCATAGGTCCATCATCATGAAAACTAGCTCTCTTTGGAAGATTTGGAGCCACAAGAGCACACAAATTCCATAAGGCATTACTCTATATTCAGCCTCTGAATTCGAACTAGCTAGTTACCACTGTGTGCTTCTTGCTTCATCAAGTGTGTCATCTGCTGAACTAGCCCAATCAACATTAGTAAATGCTTCTAGCTTCAAGTGCTCATGATTGGAGAACAAGATTCTTTTTCTTGGACCTGACTTAAGATACCTCAAAATACGATAAGCAGCTTCAAAATAACTGACAACAACCAATGCATAAGCAATATTCTATCAAGTATGAGATAGATATATCAGTCTACTCACTAATCTCTGATAACTCTCGTTATCCACGACATCACCAACACCACTAATCAATCAATGGTTAGCTTCAATTGGAGAAGCTACTGGTCTACCGCCCAACATACTTGTTTTTTCAAAAATACCAAGAGCATACTTTCTTTGGGAGATAAAAATAGTTTTTATCAGATCTGACAACTTTAATCCCAAAAAAGTATCTCAATGAACTCAAGTCTTAATTTTCAAATTCCTCAACTAGCTAAGTTTTCAGTTTGGAGACCTCCAACATATCATTCACTATTATCACAATGTCATCCACATATATAATAAGAACAATAATTTTATCATCAACTTTTTTGATAAACATAGTATGATCAACATGATTCTGTTTATAACCAAATTTCAACATAGCTTTAAGAAACCTGTCAAACCAAGCTCTAGGAGATTGCTTCAGCCTATAAAGAGGCTTCTTCAACTTACATACCTTTCTTTTAGTTAATTGGAATGAAACCTTGGTGGGATCTTCATATACACTTCCTCCTCTAAATCTCCAAGAAGAAAGACATTATTCACGTCCAATTGCTACTAACACCAAGCCAGATTAGTTGCACAAGAGAGAATAGCGCATAAGGAGTTCATTTTTGCCACAAGGGCAAAGGTCTCCTAATAGTCAATGACATACATCTGAGTAAATCCCTTAGCAACCAGTCTACTTTGTACCTCTCGACAGTTCCAT